TCTTTTCCATATTCAGTCTGCAGTTCAGGGACATAATTAAGCACAATGAGACTTGAGCACTGGCTTAACTCACTTGAGTGCTCTGCTCAATCAGGACAGATGGGAGCTCTTGTTTATGGACTTGTCTGAACTTGGGTCCTAAAGTAGGGCAAAAGTCAAAAATAACATTTGCAAATGCCTGGTTTAGTGTGTTTTGCTGTAAAGTTTCAACTCAGAGACCAAGAGATGGCAGAAGGGGATGTAGCTCAGAGCTGCACCCTCTTACACGAGGTGGCGTTTTGGCTCTATAAGTGTAAGTAAAAAAAACTGACAGTCATTGGGGAGTGTGTGTGTGTGTGTGTGTGTGTGTGTGTATGTGTGTGTGTGAGGAGCATATATGCATGTGTTAATAATTAGGACATTAATAAATAAGAAAGGGTTGTACTTTAGATCCCCATGGCCCATTTATACATGGTAAGATGGATTTGTGTTATGCCATTTCAACAAAGACTTATTTGGACAACTGACTTTCTGCTTATGTGACATTGTGCGTCTGCTGCTGTGGTGTTAAAGCCAGGTTAGACTTGGCTTTTCTTATCACTGTAAGCATCCTAATGGGAAAAATGAATGGCTTGTTGTGGCTCCTTCCCACCCCTGGAATTCTCAATGACTTCCGCAAAGTTGGGTTTAAACCAGGTTAGGGCTTGGACAGTGTCTTTGATGTTCAGATATGCTAAAATGTAAGGTCAAGATTGGTTTAGTGTAACAACTGATTTTGAGTGACCAACTGGAGATTCTTTCCCAGGACTTGATCTTTTGAGCACTTTTCTGAAGATCCAGACCCTTTAAGATATATGAATTTGGGCACCCAAAAGCACCAGTCACTTTTGGAACATGTTTGCTCTAATGAGCCTGATTATAAGTAGAAGTCTGTGCTTTGCATTTAACTTGCTTAAAGCAATATCCCTGCTGAAATCAAGGGACCTTGCATATCCTCGCCATTGCCACCAGAAGCAGTGTGAATTAAGGTATGGTATCACTGTCAGCAGTGATACAGAAAAAAAACAACTCAGTGGATTTACTCTGGGTTTGCCTTGGTATCAGTGCAACCCCCAAGACCTCCTTCTCTTGTCACTCCTGGGTTGGGTTTGTTTTTTAAATCCTTTAGCTTCAATGAGATTCCCTTTGATTTACGCCAGCACAACTCAGAAGAGAATTGCATCTCTAAAGAATGAGTCAAAATCCAGTATCTGAGTGGAATGACCACTAAGAGACACAGAAGATGCTATATGTCTAACATTATTTGAGATTTGAAAATATCTCTAATTGGTGTGTGATCATGGCAATTGAATAAAAAGGTGTGTGTTTTACCATGGAGTAGTAAATAAGGGGGTTTATATTGCATACTTTCTCCAGGCCTACAGTGATCTTAATCTGAGACTAACGATAACGAGACTTCAGGCCACAGTGATGCTGCTGTAAAGGTCATCTGCTGGGAAGACATTTTCTGAGCATGTGTTTATGACCGATTGCCTTGCAAAGAAAGATCGTTCAAGTAAGGTTTTAAGATCATTTGTGCAAGTGCTAGATGGCCTTTAACAGTAAATGTTCATGTCTTTCTTGTGGATTGAGAAAGCTGGGGTAGCTGAATATTAGTGTGCTCACAAATGATACAAGTTCAGATGCAAGTAGCAAAGAGCGCAATCAGGGAAATATAATATAAAGGTATTTAATCAGAAATTGACATTTAAATGGATTCTGATGCAATCTTAAGAAGGACAGGGCAATCCGTATTATTAGCTAAATTACTAGTTGCAAGTCAGCACAGTTCCATTACCTGCGTTAGTACGTTTGTGTACCTGAGCTGAGATCTGGCTCTGTAATTTCTACAAATTACATGTGTCACCTCCATCCTTGGAAAGGTCTTTGAAAAGATTATGAAGGATCATATTTGTGGGAGACCAGCGGGAAAATCAATGCAGCAGGGAAAGCAGCATGGGTTTGTAGCAGGTAGATGATTCCTGCCCAATCTGGTTTCGTTTTATGACAGGGTCACAAAATGCTTAGAAACAGGAGTAGAGGTGGATGTTGTTTTCTTGGATTTAGCAAGGCCTTTGATATGGTGTCTCATCCCATTCTCATAAATAAATGAAGAGGCTGTGACATAGATGTTTACATGGTCCAGTGGGTGGCAAATTGGCTTAGTGGTCGCACCCAGAGAGTGGTAGTAAATGGGTCGCTATCAACCTAGAAGGATGTGGGCAGTGGAATCCAGCAGAGTTTGGTCCTTGGACCTGTACTCTTCAATGTCTTCATCAGTGACTTGGATGTGGGTGTGACGTGTACTCTGTCCAAGTTTGCGTACAATATTAAATTGTGGGGTGAAGTGCACACTCTGGAGGGTAGGCAACGATTGCAGGCAGACCTGGACAGGTTGGATAAGCAGGCACTACACAATAGGATGCAATACAACAAGGACAAATGCAGAGTGCTGCACCTAGGGTGCAAAAATATCCAGCACATGTACTGGTTGCGAAGTGACCCTCTCAACAGCACAGAAGTGGAAAGGGATCTTGGAGTCACAGTGGACTCCAAAATGAACATGAGCCGTCAGTGTGATGAAATCACCAGCAAAGCTAACCGCACTTTATCATACACCAGCAGATGCATGACACATAGATCCAAGGAGGTGATACTTCCCCTCTATGTGGCATTGGTCAGACCCCAGTAGGAGCACTGCGTCCAGTTTTGGGCACCGCACTTCAAGAAGGATGTTGGTAGACTCGAGAGGGTCCAGAGGAGGCCGCTCGTATGGTTAGGGGCTTACAGGCCAAGTCCTATGAGAAGAGACTCATGAGGGACCTGGACCTCTTCAGCCTCTGCAAGAGAAGGCTGAGAGGTGATCTTGTGGCTGCCTACAAATTCATTAGGGGGGCAGCAAGGGATTGGAGATGCTCTGTTCCCCAGGGCGCCTCTTGGAGTAACAAGGAGCAATGGTCACAAACTGACAGAGCAGATTTAGGCTGGACATCAGGAAAAACTTCACGGTAAGGGTGGCCAAAATTTGGAATGGGCTTCCAAGGGAGGTGGTGCTCTCCCCTACCTCGGGGGTTCTTAAGACAGGGCTGGATAGGCATCTGGCTGGGGGCATCTGACCCCAGTGCTCTTTCCTGCCCAGGCAGGGGGTCGGACTCTGTCCTTTGAGGTCCTGTCCTGCCCCAGCATTTAGGACTCTATGAATTTCATCTGTGCATTGGAGAAGTGCAGACGTATGCATCTGTCCTGTAGTCTTAACTTTGGACAGGCGCTTGGATAGAAATCACTGGATTAGACTCCTCAGGGGGATTCTCCTCTCTCCCACCGCTCCAAACCTAGAGTAACTTTGCCGACGTCAGTGCAGCTATTCTAAGTTTGTACTAGGGGAAGAATCTTGTATGAATTTGGGCACCCAAAAGCACCAGTCACTTTTGCAACATGTTTGCTCTAATGAGCCTGATTATAAGTAGAAGTCTGTGCTTTGCATTTAACTTGCTTAAAGCAATATCCCTGCTGAAATCAAGGGACCTTGCATATCCTCACCATTGCCACCAGAAGCAGTGTGAATTAAGGTATGGTATCACTGTCAGCAGTGATACAGAAAAAAAAACAACTCAGTGGATTTACTCTGGGTTTGCCTTGGTATCAGTGCAACCCCCAAGACCTCCTTCTCTTGTCACTCCTGGGTTGGGTTTGGTTTTTAAATCCTTTGGCTTCAATGAGATTCCCTTTGATTTACGCCAGCACAACTCAGAAGAGAACTGCATCTCTAAAGAATGAGTCAAACTCCAGTATCTGAGTGGAATGACCACTAAGAGACACAGAAGATGCTAT